GAAGTGAGAAAGCAAGGCTTGCATTTGATTATGACAAAGCGCACAAGAGCTATACACTTCAGGGAAAAGATCCCCCGGTGGAAAAGTTTCTAAGGGCAACTGGCTAGTATCCACTAACCCATGCAGCCAGATGCTGCAAAAAAAAAAAAAAAAAAAAACCCATGCAGCCAGACTGTTCGCCTGAAATCGAACCCCAGGTTAAACTACCAGTGTTCAGCGTCTTTACCGTTCAGCCTCTGGTGGGTGAGGGAAGAAGATGTATATTTTGTTTATTATATTTAAGGCATTCGTAAAGTTTTTAATTAAGAATGTCCCAGAATTACCTACGTAACGTAACTTAATTGTGAGCTGAAAAATTAAGATAAAATTCTCAATAAAAATGTCCAGTTTTTATTTACTTAATCTAAAAACTTGTTCTTACTTTTGCAATTTTTTTCCTTACTTTTCTTAATTAAAAAAATAAGTATCGAGTAGCTTAAAATGCATTAAATATGATAAAGCATGAGAGAACTTACATGGAGAAGTATGTGTAAGAGGGAACTCATCGAAAGATTTATGCAGAAAAAAAAAAAAAAAAAAAAGGCCCATTCAGTCACCGGAAAACGATACCGGGCGAACTACCTATATTTCACAGTTTTAACTACTTGCTCACTGATGGGCATGAATAGTTTGAAACAAGGCAGAAGTATAGAAACTCATAAATGTAAAGAAAGTAATTAGAAATTTAAGAACGTTTAGTTTAAGGCGACAAGTTTTCGGTTTTACACTTGTCGTCTAAAGTTTTCTGTCAATCATACAAAGGATTCTCATTCTTGTGAATTTTATATGCTTGAAATAAACATTCAAAATTTTTAAATATAAGAGAGGAATTTCTAGTGCATTCAGTTAACTGCCTTGATTAAATGAATCATTATTGGCATATTATATATATATATATATCTTTAAACTACTTTGTTCTTTAATATGAGCATACGAAAGATATACATATCTGTTTTAAGTAAAAAGTATAAAGCCACTCACGAATTTTCAGCTCAAGTACATAATGCAGTAGCAATAACATATTAGTAAATAAAGTTGGTCGACTGCTGTGTAATTCACTTCCGTTACCATATTTTGTGAATTAAGTATTTATCATCTTCCAGAAAAAAAAAAATCTATTTTTGTATTACACAGCGTGAAGCAACTTGTTGTCTTCTCTGATCGATCATAAGATCTAAATGCTTAATTTCCTGCTCTTAATTTTTTTTTTTAAGTTTGCAGCAGATAAACTTTGAGAAATATGTTCACAAGTTTGAAAATTTCTGAACAAGATTTTCTTTTAAGTGAAAAATAATAAACAAAGAAATAGAAGGCGTTATATGTCATGCATAAATTGTAAACAAATTTGAATCGTACAATATCTGAATACTTAAAGAGTCTTGACATCTGCAAAAGTAAAAACATTAACTCTTGAACTTTACTGGAAGTTTTACTAAAAGAAGGTTTGCTTAAACCTTAAATTCAAAACCATAAATTTCTATTTATTGTATATTTCACTTGACATGAATCAACAAAGGAATTACACATCTTATGGGACCACTTGCAGTTTGAAAGCTTAATCAATATTTACACGCATAGGAAACATCTAAATAAAGTGAAATTAAGTTTTAATGGCTTCCATAATTAATAAGATAATTAAATTTCACTTTTCAGTTATTTTAGAAGCTGTAAAATTTTAAAGCTAATTGCAAATTATCGTTTTATTAGAAAAAGTAACAACCAATCATGTAACTATTGCTAATTACATTTTCATCGTTCTATCGGGTGATGATACAGCTATTAAAATCGAAATTATGAAAATCAAAGCGATTCTTAATTAAAAGTACATTACATATGTTCCTAAATTGCTGCAACAGAATATATTCCTGGGTAAGACTCTACGCGAGACTTAATTCTACTTTTCTTATTGCGGAATAGTGTTCTGTTTCAGTGTCTAATCCCCATTATGATCGAAAACATCTCTTAATGTTCTAAACATCATATCTCCTCTCATTTATGTTAATTATCATCATTATAGAGGGTATATGAACAGTTTGCCAAAAGATAATTCAGTAAATGCATGAAAATTTTTATTGGAATGAATTGGCTCGTCAAAAACTGTTTTCTAGCTGTGTTAGTTGTGCTAATTGGCATATTTAATGAAGAAAACAGAAGAAGAATATCGAAGGAAAATAATAATAGTTTTCTCTAAAATTAAGAGTGTAAATAAACAAATAATTATTGATGTTAAATCATTTATTGAAATCTAGAAAAAATAACTTTAATACAATTACTATAAAAATTAATTTCGTATTTATGAATATGTATGCATATCTTAATCAAGATTTAAATAAATAAATAAGTAAACAAATAAACAAACTTTTATAAGACACTAGTTGCTCTTCTTGGAAGAGGGGTGACTGGTTCCCTGTGTTGGGTAAAGTAACCTTACACATACAGAAAAGCATTCTCTTAAAACATTTTTATGCAAAACTAAAAAATAATCATTATTTACAAACTAAAAAATAATCATTATTTACATTGTTTTTCCTATCAGATAACTCTCAGTTTAAAATTACATTTCATTATTATTATTAAAACCTAAATTCTCTAAATTGGGGGAGGAGCATTCTTTACAGCTTCTAACCTATATGCTCCTTTGTTTTTGTCTTCTAACTGGAAAACGAAATGTTTCAACATTTAATTAAAATCCATAGTAAGAGTCAAACAAATATATAGCCATAGTATTACGTCATTAGCCTTAAGTTATTGCAATTATTAAGTTATGCAACAGCTCCATTTATAGTCAGAAACATCAAAAATGAAAAGGTATGAGCACAACCCCTCCTCCTCGAATGGAGATAGACTAAACATTTTTATTCCCTGTCAAACTGAAAAGAAAGACACAAATTACGTATTCATGCTCCCCATTTCAGAGCTTATAAATTAAATGCTTTCGTATAATGAAAGTTATATACAAATTAATATATAGATATATTAGGAGATATAGCATTAGGAGGAAATTGAAAGGTTCCTTGTAATCAATTCGTTTAGCATCAAATTTATAATTTGATTCACAGCTCATTAAGCTCATGCAGGAAGTAGAGGAATATTTTAACGAATTCCGTATATAAGTATTTGGCTTCCTGCCGTCATATGGTTTTTCCCTTAATTAATGATGACACTTTCATATTATAGTTGCTTCTGATTACACAGTAATCAGTAATTATAAACACCTGCATACTCTATACTCAGACTTAACAAGATGCATGCATGGAAATATTTCTCAGTCTTTTGCGCAACTACTTAGCTCATTATTGCGAAATTTGGAAAAAGAGTCACAAATGAGTTTTTCTCAGTGTGAAGGGTGACGCAGTTACATTCTATGACGTGATGAAATGTTAACACGCAAGTACTTTTCACGGACTTCCGCATACAAATTCTGCATTATGAAAGTAAAAATTAGGATAAGATGCCTACATTTAATGCTTACTTAGAAGCTGCGAAACATAGTTTGCTCATTTGTATACGTAAGAACTTTATGTATAATAAGGTAACGTTCGTGTAAACAAAGCACATTTACATACTCTCTTTTACTCGTAATATTAGAGCTCTTATATACTATGAACACGTTACATTCTTCTGCAGTTTGTTAGAATCTTTATTAAAATAATTTCCACTGTTGTTTCTGCGAACTACATGGAAAGAGTTTAATATATATCCCTTCAAAAAAAGTAAAAAATCCTCATTTTAAATAGTTTACAAGTATAAATATGCAAAAAAAATAAACTCACCCGAGAGTCTGCTGTCCTAGAAGCATAAATTAAAGCATTTTTATTAAAATTCACACTAATATTGATAAATAATACTGATAATATCCAATACGTTGTGCGGTTGTACCTCTGCACTGTGTTCACTGAGGAAAACAGCTAAACGCTTTTTTTCTTCAGAAGCTAAATCATTTGAATGTACTAGCTGATGAATTCATAGAAAACCTATGAAAAATGACTTACCTCATTAAAGTGAAGTTCTTTTGCCAAGCTTAAGGTAAATTTAAAGTATAATTCTTAACTCACCGACACACATTAGAATTCCGGTATATGATTGCTTAAAAAGTGAAATTACTTACTTTCCATTCAGCAACCTGTATACTAAATATGTATGTCTCAACGTTATCTTTCAGTGCATACTTTATGAAGTACCTGAAAACACATGTTTATAAAGTGATAATAAATTTAAAATAATTGTTTCATAATATAAACATTGTCTTGGTATCGAAAATTTTGCTTTTCATTATAGAAATTTACTTATTTTCTCTTTGGTATTTATTCAACAGGTGTCACAGTGAATTCATTCGGAATGTATTTAGTGCAGCAGTTTTTTTCACTCGGTTAGCTTTGCAATTCAAATCAATAATTTTAGAAAAGTGAAATTAATTCAAAAAGTGAAACTTTTATAAATTGCTATTACTATTTCTTTGCTTTGATTAGCAGTTTAGAACAATAATATTCTACTCAAAAATTGAAATAAAATCTGATAGCACATTAATGACTTTTAAGTGATAAACTTCTGAATATTCACTATATTTTCCCAGTATTAAATTCCAGTACTAAATATTTTCGAGTCTCACAAAGAAAATATCAGTTAGCTTTTTTTAATTCTACGAAATGCTTCGACACTTTACATTTCCCAAGTTTCACAGCACAAAAGTTTTTAGAGAGTGATTTTTTTTGGCAGAATTAGTTTTTTTAAAAATAAAAATGTAAGTGTCTGAAGAATGTTATTTCTCCATGTTACTTAAAACATTAACTTATTTAGCACCTAAAAGAAGAAACAAAATGCTTCTTTCCTTTCCCAAAATACAGTGGAAAGGAAATGTAAAGCGAAGTGCAAAGAATACATAATTACAAACTCATACATATTGCAACTTAATACAAAAGGATACTTAAAGAAAATATTCATATATTTTGAGAAATACATACCTGTATGCGTCCGCTTATGAATTTTCAAATTTTCGCTTCTGGCAAAAACTTTACCGCATCCTGGAAAAGGACATGGAAACGGTTTTTCTCCAGTATGCACTCTAATGTGATTAACTAATTTGTACTTAGCCTTGAAGGGTCTATTGTTTCTAGGACAGTCCTGCCAAAAGCAAGCATGATTAGTGCACTCAGGCCCGCCAACATGCTCCACTGTGATGTGGGACACAATTTCATGCATTGAATTAAAAGTCTTGTTACAAGGTTTCCTTGGAAGATCTTGGTCAATCCAATGACAAGTCAGTTCCTGCTTTATAGACTGTCTCATATACCTAAAGAACGCACCAGGTGCTGTCATATGAGGCATATGTCCGTAGCTACTTCCCATAAGTGAATCTGTCCTTGGTCCCATGTGATTGAAAGTGTCAGATCTAGTATACATGTCTGAACCCGGTAATGAAAGTCGCATTTGTCCATGACTATGAGTGTGATGATCGAGACTTGGAAAGAGTACATGGGACGAAGCGGTTGGATCAGGGGCATGATGACTATGTAGTCCGGTTGACGTAGAAACAAACATACCATGATGAGCTTGAGAACTACCTGACAAGGGATCGTGTGTAGCCAAATTATTGGTCAAAGAAGGCATATGGTCTCGTCGAAGTAGGAAGTCTCTAGCAGCATATGATGGGTGATGGTGGTGATGATGATGTGAATGAGAAACTCCATAACCATTGCTTTGAGGGCCATACTGATGAGGGGGTTGAGAATGATGGATTACATCACCATGCATTCCATGCTGAGGACTCAGCTTTATGCTGCCCATGTGTCCGGTCGAGTCTATGAAAGGATTGAGCATGTCCGCCGCGGTAGCCTGAACATCCTGACTTCCGCGGTGATGGACGGTCATCGCCTGAGAGAAAGGGAACCCCATGCCGTTCAAGCCTGTATGCATGTGGCCCATATCCATGAGTCGCAAGTTCCGCTTAGTTAATCCGTTTAGCTGCTCCATTCGCGTGCTAAGAGGCAGGCACAACAACCGCGGCACACTGTTGCATGCTTACACCTTCGCGATCTTACACGGACTAAAAGTTTTCAATTACGGGGAAAATAACAGACCGACGGAAAAGGCAGGGTGGGAGGACAGCACGATGTCAGAAGACCGATCGCCATTCTCTTGTCTCTCACCAATTATTGGGTCATGACTGCTAGTAGGCGTGGTTAGAAACCTGCCCACCAATCCTCGCGGCGTCCGTCCCCGCAGTGTTAAGCATGCAGGGGGTGGTGCTCGACATGAATAAGCTGTCATTCAAATTCACAGTACAGAGGCATCTTCTCGCGAGATCGGCACATGTTTTAGCTTCCGATTTTCACGTGTCTGGGGTTCCTTCTTCAGTTTTTACGTATAATTGTTATGAGCTTTTAATTCACAAGACTAATTTTATTGAAATTCCACTGAATTTTTTTTTTTTTTTTTTTTTTTTTTTTTTTTTTTTTTTTTTTTTTTTTTTGAATATGCCTACAGTAGAATATATTTAAAACTCTGCAACAAACAAATAAATAAATTGAACTCGATAAATGAATAAATGTAAGAAATACGCATCTGAGGAACTGGTAACAAAATTGATAACAGATGGAAAAATTTCTTAGAAAGGTTTTAATAAGTTTAGATTTTAAAAGTTGTTTGAAGAAAAAATGTATAAACTCAAATGCAGTTTAAAGTATTAAACTAGCAAAGTCTAGCAAATAATACGCTACATATAATTTGTAAAATACTCCCTACGTATACTTTATAAATGTATGCATGTATATTATGATTACCGCATTTACTCACGTAATAGTCACCCTCGCGTAAAAGTCGCATCCCTGTTTTGAAGCAGAAAAAATCGTCTGAAGTGTACAATATTGTGTAGTAGATTTTCCCGATTACTACACAATATTGCACCTAGACTTTCACACTGAAAAATTGGTAAAAGAAGTGCAACTATTACGCGAGTAAATACGGCATGTAATATTCCTGTATATATATCATATTTTATAAATGTATGTAAATATATTTTATAGTTCGTATATTATAATTTTATGACACTTCATAAAATAAATATGTAACTCTTCTAGAATTTATAGTTCATTGCCTATAATGGAAGAACAAAATGGGAAATAACGTAGTCGAAATCCAGCAACAGCATAAGTTTTCAAATTAAGGATTTCGCTCTGCTGTTTACTCATAACTGTTTTCTCAGAGATCTTTAAAATAATCATCAAGCCTTCAGCTGCTATGGCAATCGTTGCAGCTGTGTATCTGTGGGAATTGAAGTAAATGGAGGATTGGAATGGATTTGGATTAAATTATAGAGCACTGGATTAGATTAAGGCGAAGTATGCGAAGGCGATATGCATAAGGAGAGCTATGCCCTCGTGGAAGACTTTCTAAGGAAATCGAAATAAATGAAGAAAATAGGTGCCCAACTGAAATGTTAAATCTTTGACAAGATTTCTTGTGAGATATTTCATTGGAAAATGTTACCAAACCTAAGAAGTAATTAAAATACTACAAAATTTTAAATGTGATGATCGAATTAAATATCAGCAGCTTTTTGAGAAACATACATTATAATCGAAAAATCATCAAACAAATTCTGAATAACGTAGTCCTCCAGCTAACATGTGCACCTGGAAGCTCGAATTTTATATTTCATATTATGTAAAACTAGAGTGAATTTTTAACAAAATCAGCAATTAAAACAATTTCGCCCACCAGCGGCCGAGCGGTAAAGTCGCTGAACACTGGTAGTTCGATTCGAGGTTCGAATCCCGCGAACGGGCTGGCTGCATGGGTGTTTTCGTGGTTTTCCTCATGTGTAACGTGTATACGAGCCAGTTTCCCTTAGAAAGTCCTCCACGAAGGCATCCCTCCCCTTAGGCAGATAGCCCTCGTGTGCTTTGCCGTAATTAAGTACACCACACAATTAAAACATTATTATATCCAGCGCGGGAGACTGTATATATCGGAAACTGCATTTTTAAGCATTTTGTGATTTTGTTATTCAAGTGAATTTTATATGGCGTAATTCCGAAGAACAAGATATTTAAATAGCAACTTTAATACACAAAACGTTAATATTAAAAGGACAAAAAAAAGTTTTGCAAGCCGGCGTAATTCCGAAGAACAAGATATTTTAAATAGCACCTTTAATACACAAAACGTTAATAATAAAAGGACAAAAAAAAAAGTTTTGCAAGCCATCTTACTAAGAAAACTGCGAATTGATATGATAAACTGACAAAAGATTGAAAAAAATAGAAAAATGTAGGCCAACACTTAATACTTCATCTAAAATTCTAAACACATGCTGCTTTTAAAATTTTTGTAATGTTGCTGTTGAATTGTACATGGAGTAAATGCGAAGAAAAGGAAAAAAAAAAAAAAAAAAAAAAAAAAGGGTTAGCAGGAGTGAGTGCAATAGCAGACTGGGAGATTGAGAGCTCAGTGAGTGCGTAGAAAACCTTAACAAATCTTTTTGGGCTACCGTTAAAATCTGAGCTATTTCAAATTGGATTTTATTTTATTTATTCATTTTTTTAACTTGAAAGTAAGAATCTGTATTTCCTTTAATTCTTGTAAAACTACTTTACTCTTGTACAAATTTTTTCTTTTGAGATATACAAGAGGAATATGCTATACAAATGATGTTCTATTAACACGATGCACAAACAAAGGATATCCGTATATCAACAAAATCAATATTTCCTCACCACAGGGCAAACCATAAACTTATTAATCATAAAATAAACGTAATTTTTATTTCATTTGAGAAAATTGTGGTAATCTTTGCTTACGTTTTCTTGCCTGAGACTGAAAGCCATCAAAACTAAAAGACTAGAGCTACTGAAACAGGTTCACGTATTCAACGCAAAATTTTTGGATAAATTCAATGTTTTGCAAAGCTTTTCCCTTACGTAGTGGAGCCCACCGGCGGCCGAGCGGTAAAGTCGCTGAACACTGGTAGTTCGGTCCGAGATCCGAATCCCGCGAACAGGCTGGCTGCATGGGTGTTTTCGTGGTTTTCACCATGTGTAACGTGTATACGAGCCAGTTTCCCTTAGAAAGTCCTCCCCGAAGGCATCCCTCCCCTTAGACAGATAGCCCTAGTGTGCTTTGCCATAGTTAAATACACCAACACCACCCATACGTAGTACTTAAGTATTAATGCTACCATCTTTGCAGAAGTCGCCAGATTTACAAAATGCGCCAAACTCTGCCAATCATGCTCATAACAGTTTTTTTAGTTCTAACAGCAACGTCGTCATTTTCATATGTGTTCTTTTTCTTGTATTCCGACTCCTATGGTTTCTATAAACAGATCATGACAGTTTTTGCTTTGTACCCAATTTTAAAGTATGCGCTTATGGAATTTGTCAACAATGGAAGAAATTACGGCAAATTTTCTGCAGAACACAATATTTTGGAGTAAAATCGTCAAAAGAAACAATTTCTTTGAATGTATTCTTAAAGGTATTTTTCCCACTTCCCTAGCGTGCCTTCGTGGTGTAACGGTAGCACGCTGGGCCGGTATTCCAGAAGTCCGTGGTCGATTCCCGGCGAAGGCGGTTGCAATATTTTTCATCTCTCTGGCTTCCAATTAACCTAATGTCTCTACAAAGTAATTGTCATGAAATTTCTATCAGAGCAAAGGGAACAAAAATCCGCTTTTATCATCTACTTTATTCTCTAAAAGAAGACAAAGGAAAAAAAAAAAAAAAAAGAAAGAATTTATTTAAATAAAACTATGAACCCAACATGGATTAAGAATCACGCTTAAAGGAGATAATATACTTAATAATCCATTAGTAAGTAAATAATTATTTTATTGCTTTGCAGCTGTTGAGCAATTTATTAGGCAATTTATTACGATTAATTAAATTGTTTACTTATATATTTATGTATATTAAATGCTGTAAAAAGCAGAATGCAAATCTCTGAAATAAAAGTGTTGTCAGAACATTAAAGAATCTAAACTTTTTCCCGTTATCCAGATAAAAATAATTTAATGTTTTCAAATATGATTACATGTGGGCTGTTAAATGCACATTCGACAAATTAACATGCTTAAATAAAACAAAACAGCAGCTGAAAACGTCAAAATTTGAACTAATTTAATTCACCAAATTGATTTTGTAATCAATACAATACAACTTTAAACATATACGATAACAATTCTAGAAAATTTGTTGATCAATAATTCGGAAGGTATGGTAGAAGAAATAAACTTTGTGAAATATTTAACCATTTTGTGAAATTTATTGTAACACTTGTTTCTAATAAAATAATTCCGCAGTCATAGGGCACTCCGAGGGCACCGATAATGAGTTCTCAGTTTGTTTCACTATTACAGACTCTTCACACACACCCGTATTCGTGACGTTGCCAAAGGCGGAGGGAGGGATGAAGATTACGTTTATGAAAAATTACGTTAATCTGCATTTAACAGCCTTCATATAATTCTATATACATCATATCCACAATAACCCTTAGCCGACCTTTACTTTCTCAACTGTTGGTCTTATACTTCCAGTCACAAAAATTCTTTGAATTCCGCAAAGATTCGTATTTTCAAACTTTTAAATTTAAAAATGTTTAATTTTGTATAAAATACGAAATTGACATTTTGCACGTTTCTGAAGTCCGTATATTTATACTTAGGAAAATTTGTACTCGCTATGAAAAATAAAACGCAGAAAGTTTGACTTAAGTACAACAAAAAATTGACCGAGATATTTGGTATTAAAATCGGGAATCATATTCAGAGGCCGCAAACAAATGAAAGCACGAAATGTTTGCATTTGTACGTAATTAAAAATGAAATGTTATTTAGAAAACGTTTCTGATTCTGGTAAGAGATGATTAATGTTTATATATATATATATATAAAATGAGGATCTTATTCAGAGAATCCTAACAGAATTCGTTCCTTAGGAAGGCAGGTACTGACAGATCTGTAGCCAACGCTTAATTTTATTTGCATTCATTAAAAATG